AAAAAAAACCCACTTTTTATTTCTAATTATAGTAAGCAAGGCAGAGATAATCACAGTCAATGTGATAAGTGACAAGAGTTCATATTTGCTTGGCATGCCAGCTGCTAATTCCCTTTCCCTGGAGATATCTTACTGATTTTTTTCCTTGTTTCCTAATGAAACTCCCCAACTATATATTTACACTATCCCTCCCCCCCTACTCTTTGTGTCCTTATTGTTGCCTAAGGGAGGTTGCCTAAAGTTGCACCAATCAATCTTATCTCTCCTCAGCAGAAAAAAGACAGCTCAACAAAGCTCTGCTGCTGATTTGTTATATGTGATCCTCAATTCGTTTGTTTTCTGATAAATTTCTTATTTGTCAGGGCTTTTGTCAGACATTTTGTATTTATAGCCTCCAGGGTGATCAATTCTAATACTATGTTTTATGCTAAATTTTGAATCAAGACCACTCCTGACTTTTATTTAAAAACAGCACTATCCAGTATGGAAGCTCACTCCTGTGCCTTTTTATGAGAAGAGAAAAAAGAGTAACAGCTTTATGTTTTTATTATCATTACCAAAGGCCACCCTTTACAATAGTGAACCACTTCACACCTGTGTCACCTTTTCTATTTGTATTGGACCATAATCTAAATCAGGCAGAGTCTTCTTTGGGGAATCTAGAAATAGTAGAAAATGAACTCTGTCACTTAATTTTTTTTAAATGTGCATGAATATCCTACATGTACTGATAAACTATTTAACTATTTATAAAAATAATACACAAGATAAGGTAAATAATGTATTCTCATTTCTGTAATTCATAAACTATTCATGTCACCCCTCACCAGTCCAAACTACTGTATCGCATACTATAAAAACAGTTTTACTCAAGTTCAAATATATCCTTAGATGAGGAATATAATAGATTAATAAAGTCCCCTGCCAAACTAGGATGTTGTGATATATTTCAAAGCAAACAAAGCTTTTCTTAAATTCTAATTTATTTTTCCTTGCTGAATTGATCAGTTTATTTAGTCTTGAGTTCATTTCACCTCACTATAGAAAAATGGGAAAATGTTTGACTGAATATAAGAACACACAGTTATTACATGTCAGGAATTTGAACTGAATAGAATAGATTGTGTTATAAACAGAATGCCTAGTGTTTCTTGTACAAACAATAAACCTCTTTTAAAATACATATTTTATTAATGTATTATATATCATATATAGGTATATATAGATATGTATATTTATAATATGCATATAATTTGTATACTATTACATGTAATAAGGTTAGACAAAGAAATAAAATTGTACAAGAAAATTAATATCAAAGATTCACATTCACATGATCAGGGCACCGAAAGTTGGACATTAAGCCAGACTTTTCTAAAGAGCGTACTCTAAATATATTCTTTAATTTTAAAGACTGTTCTCTTAATTTTTAAAATTTACTTCTCTGACATACCATTTTATTCTTGAAGTTGTTTTATAAATGAAGCAATCTAATCGCACATCTTCCGATGTTTCTAGAAATGCATATACTTTAAATCTAACAAAGATTATTAAATTTAACTTTTAAACATTATGTGGGCTAGCTAGGCAAACTATTTACACAGCTGGTAGGAAAAAAACTTTTTGAATGAATTGTTAGCATTTTAGTAATTCATCTCATATGAAATTTCATTATTTAACAAATTTTTCATTGCTTTATGCCATATATCTTCTAAGCACTAAAGTTACTGAAGATGAATATTACCTCTTGCCTTAAGAAAATTCAATACGAAGAAAAAATTTTAAATTATGTATACATAATTGCCATCACTTTCTGTAGTAAAATTATATTCACTGTGCTGTTTTTTGTTTTTGTTTTTTTAATACAGTGTGAAATTAAGCAAATCTCTTCTCAGTCCCAAGAAACTAAAAACCTAGTAATTCTTTGAATGCAATTAATGGAAAAACATTTAACAATAGGAATATTTGAGTTAGGACCAAGTTTTGACTAGAAGAGAAATTCTTTTTCTATACTCACATTCCATAAACATAAGTTTTTAACCTTACAAAATATTTTATGACAGTGAGAGTGGAAAAATAAAGGTGACATTGCAGAAGAGTTTTTCAGAAAAGATTTAATTTTTGCATGTCTATGAGAAAAAGGCATTCTGAATTTGTACTGAAAGAATGACTTCTAGTTGTGTTTAGTCTGCCTTGTGGGTTGACTAGGCAAACTATTCATCAATTAAATTGAAAATCAAACATGGAATTGACCTGGAGCAGTAGTTACCTGGCATGGTTGCACTTTAGAACACACTGGAAGCCTTATTAAAATGCTGGTGCCTGGATCCCACTTCAGACTGAATGAATCGTAGAAGCAAAAGGTAGGCATTGATATTTTTCAAAAGCTTTGCAGGTGATTATTTTCAGTTGATCACTCTTTGAATCCTCTCTTAAAAACTGACAGAGCATCTGGGATTGCATAGACATCCTCCACAATACTTAGAATGTGAGTGAGAGGGATCAAATCTGCATGGATTTAGCAGCTTTGCAGAAATAGTGGAAGGAAGATATAGGGAATTCTGATCATCTTAAGGGCCCTCAAAGTTCACTTTACTTGCTTCCATCAAATAACCTTCAAAAGAGATGTTACTATGGGTGGAATAATTAGCAAACATACTTTAGCAAGACCAGAAAAGACTACACCAACTTAGCAAGGGTTTCTGGAAGAAGCAGGATTTTCTGGGGCTACTTCAGCCCTTGAGAACCTCAGAAATACCCAGCGCAATCTTCCTCCCAATAACAGAATCCTACACTGAAGAAAAAGAAAATCCATCAGGAATAGAGTCTGAATTAAATAGGTCAGAAACACCAGGGATTCCGTTACTAGATACAAAATATGCAGAGAAGGCAGATTTCAGATCTGAGGACTTGTCTACACAGAGAGGTCATATTTCAATACTACGGCAGAGAAAGTCTTTGAGCAATAAAACTAAGAAAGTTCCTTGGCCCACCCTACTCCTGCACAGGAACCTACGCCTGAGAATACAGGAAAACCTATCTCATTAGACATGAAAAGAAGAAAAGGATGCTATCCAACCCCATGAAATTATATCCTAAGAACAAAAGGAAAAAGTCCTGATTAAGGTGCTAACAGATAATAAAAGAATAGCAGGAAAATATAGTTGCAATGTATAAGAAAACTATAACCTAATATTAAATATGAGATAATGTAAGTTAAGAAAGACGTAGAACTATAAAATTAAAGTATAAATTAAAAATAGAAAGAATTTTTTTTAAAGGTGCCTAAACCATAGACCATTGTAAAAAGGGAAGTTGATGGAGCTTGGAAAGTGTTTAGGAGGATAAAAAGAATAAAGTCATTTCTTAAGAACTTTTTGAGATTTAAAAAAAAAAGCCTGAATAGAATTCAATGATGTGAAAAATTGTTCTCCTTTTATTAAAAAGATGGTCAGCAAATAGCTTGAGTCAGGGTTAGGGCCAGGGACAGAACGTCTCAGTTTCCAGCCAGTTAAGAATAAGTGACATTTGTTTTTTATCCAACTGAAATTAATTAAATGTCTATATTGTGTAGCACCAAAAACACATCAAGGCAATAATAATGAAATTAAATAATACCCTGAATAAAATACTTTACTAGCTCCCTTCACTGAGCTCTTATCACACAGCTGAGTTGGATGCTTTACTTATCCCTCACAATAACCGCATATATAGGAAGGGAATCTCCATAAATATCAAGAAACATGTATGATTTGATCCCATCTGCTGGTAAAATTTCTGGATAGATGCTTGTGACATTTAGTAGGGTATTTTCAGAATCATCTGGCTTAAAACACGGGCTGCCACACACACAAATTTTATTTTGGCATATCCTCCAAAGCATGTGACAATAAGGTAAAAAGTCAGCCCTGAGTGCCTGCTGACAGAGATGTGCACTATTTGTATTAAGAGAGTGACACAAAGAAAATAAATGGAGGTTTTAGATATGAACCCTAAATCAAAAGTCACAAGGACAGATCCTGTAAACCGAAGGCTATAACTTGCAATTGAGTTGCTTCTCAGACAGAGTGCCCATCTAGCATGCCCCAGGCTGAATAGTCACAGAAATTTATCTATATAAATCTATCTAAAGCTGGTTAATGCATAGCTGATGGAAAGTCAGTTAGGCCAGCCAGAGAATAAATGAAATTCGAGGAAGAAGTGGGAACATGAGTGTAGCAGTTGATGACTGAGCTGTTCTACCAGATACTTCTCAAAATGTCTGAGGACCAGCACTGTAGCATCATCCAGGAACTTGTTAGAAATGTAGAACTTCAGGCCCTGCCCATCTCTACTAAAGCTGACTACATTTTAACAAGATCCTCGGGTTTGAAGATTTGGGAAGCTTGTTCTATAGGACACAGGTGATTATCGCTCTTTTTTGTAACACAGTGAAAAAGTTTGCAATAATCAAAGATATCAGACTTTCATAATTAAGTTATTCATTCAATAATTATCCTTTTAAATGCTTAATCCATGCCATGATCCATATAAGATTCTTGCAAGTAATATATTGAAGAAGGCAACCAAGATTTCTGTATCTGATAAAGTTGACAATCTAGAGGAAAGAAATTAATAAAAATTAAGAGTAACAAATGCTGTGAACACCTGTATTAGACCTTAAATGAAATACAAAGGAAGAAACGAAACTCAATTTTGTTCTCCCAAATTTCAGAAAATAAACGTGGCTTATGTAACAAATCTTAGAGGCTTACAGAACAGTCTGTTTGAAACAAACCCTACTTAAGTTACGCATATGTTAGTAGTTCAGTTTCACCCTCTATCTCTTGGCACCTCCAAAACATAATCAGAACAGAAACCACAAGAGATTGATATATTCAGGCAACCATTGGCTGAGACTGCTGTTCTGAGAATGACCAGAAAAACAATATAGGATCTAAAGGATTGCCCACTGTTGGTGATACCGAATGAAAAGAAAAATGACTTCAGATAGCTCTTACAAATAGGTAGCTCAATAGCCTTCAGCACCAGCACTTTTATAGTGAAATTTCCTTTGGCAGAAGTGTCTGGCAGCTGTACTTTGAATGGCATCCTAACTAATGTAACAGGCTGTGTGCTATATTGGCTTTCTCAATGGATGCACAATTCTAGCAGGTTAAAGAGCCAGCATAAAACTGAAAAAAGTGGGTTCACTTGTATTGTATGTAAGCTCTAAAATATGACAACCTTCAAGTGAGGACCCAGAAAATGAGTCAAATAGACATTTACCACAATTGTTTCCTTTCTATTGTTTAGTACAACGGAGAAAGACTTTAAAGACAAGCAGATTTTAGTTTAAAGCCCTACTCTTCCATTTTGCCAACCTTGTGATATTGAAAAAGTCATTTGTCATCACTGAGCATCAGTTATGTATTATATCTATAAAATGGTAATAGTTGCTGTCTCCCAAGGTACTTGAAGAAATTAAGTATTTGTAGAGCATTTTAACCACTTTATTGAGGTATGATTGACATTCAAAAAGCTTTATATACTTAATGTATACAACCTGATGAGTTTGAAGATAAGTAAATACCCGTGAAACTATCACCACAATCTATGCCATAAATCTACCCATCACCTCCAAAAGGTGCCTCCTATCTTCTTTATTATTGTGTACATGTGTGTGAGATGAGAACACATCATAAAATCTACCCTCTTAGTAAAATTGTAAGTATACAATTTGTTCACTTAGGTACTGAACTGTACAGTAGATCCCTAGGACATATTCTATTCACTTATAAAATATAAACATTAGCCGGGCTCATTAGTGGCTCATCCTGTAATCCCGCACTTTGGGAGGCTAAGGTGAGTGGATTGCCTGAGCCTGCACATTCGAGACCCCCCTGAGCAACTTGGCGAGACTGCATCTCTACAATAAATCAAAAAATTAGCTGGGTGTGGTAGCACGTGCCTGTAGTTCCGGCTACTTGGAAGGCTGAGGCGGAAGGATCGTCGGAGCCCAGCAGGTCGAGGCTGCGGTGGCCAGGAGCGGCCACTGCACTCCAGTCTGGGCAACAGAGTGAGACTCCAACTCAAAAAATAAAATAAAATAAAATAAAAATAAAACAGAAACATTGAACCCTTTGACTGATACTTCCTTCCTCTCAGCCCCTTGGCAACTACTCTCTGCTTCTATGAGTTAAACTGTCTTAGATTTATAATACAAAAATTAATGTCTTCCAGGTTCATTCATGCTGTCACAAATAGCAGGATTTCTTTCTTTTCAAGGCTGAGTAACATTCCATTACATAAATATGCCACATTTTCTTCATCCATTCATCCGTTGGTGGGTATTTAGGCTGCTTCTGTGTCTTGACTGTTGTGAATAATGCTTCAGTGATCATGGGAGTGCAGATGTCTTTTCAGGATGCTGATTTAAATATTTTGGAATATAGACCCAGAAATGAGAAAACAACTTTTTGAGGAACCGCTATACTGTTTTTCACAGCGGGGCACCAATTTACATTTCCACCAACAGAGTTCAAGAGTTCCCTTATCTGTATATCCTTGTCAACATTTATCATATTTTGATTTTATGGGAGTAGTCATCCTAATTGGTGTGAGGTGATATCTCACTGTTTTGATTTGCAGTTCCCTGATGATTAGGACATTGAACATCTTTTCATATACCTTGTGGCCATTTGTGTGTCATATTTGGAGAAAATGTTTATTCAATTCTTTACCCATTTTAATGGGGCTATTCAAGTTGTTTTGCTCTGGTTTGAGTTTTGGTTTTCTGGTTTTTGTTTGTTTTATTGTTATTTAGTTGAAGCTTCTTATATATTTTGAATATTAACCCTTCATCAGATACATGGCTTGCAAATATTTTCTCCCACTTCATAAATTACCTTTAGCAATTATTTTCTTTGCTGTGCAGAAGCTTTTTCATAAATGTTATCCCACTTGTCTATTGTTTGCTTTTGCTGTCTTTTGTTGCTTTTAGAGTCATACTTAAGGAACAATTTCTAAGACCAAGGTTAAGAAGCTTTTCCACTATGTTTTCTTTTAAGAGCTTTATGTTTTCAGATCATATGTTTAAGTCTTTTTAATTATTTCGAGCTAATCTTTGTGTAAGGTGTAAGATGAAGGTCCAGTTTTCTTCCTTTGCATGTGTATACCCAGTTTTCTCAATACCATTTACTAAAGAGATCATCCTTTTCTTGTTTGAGTATTCTTTACACCTTGGCCAAAATAAGTTGACCTACATGGATGGGTTTATTTTTGGGTCTCTTTTCTGTTCAGTTGGGTGATATGGTATAAAGCATTTTTAAGTGCCTAGTAAAAAGTAGGTGCTCACAAAATCAAGAGAGGCTTTCCAAAGCATGTAGCCTAAATTTTTGAATTTGGCATTTCCAGCCTCCCTAAGATAGCTATCTTATCTTTCAAAAACTTTCCCCATCTTTGCAACCCCTACTCTTACCAGTTCAGTTCAATTCAAGCTCCTACTGTGTGCTAGCCATTCTACTAAATACAAAGAATATAATAATCAATATTACATTGTTTTTCTTCTTGTATAGTTTCTATTTTAGTAATGAAGACAGACATGCAAACAGATAGTACCAATATACTATGGAAAATGTAATTTTAAAAGTATAATCAGGCTTACATAGATATGAAAGGAAACCATTGATTTATCTCTATAAATAAACCCAGATTTGTATTTATGTCTCTCTACCTAGCAATGTCTGGGTAGAACGACCATCCTCAATATTAATACCAAAATTCATAGATGGTTTTCCAAAATGTGAAGGCATGTTGAAATGTATTCAATACTAACATACTAGCAAAGCTTCTAAATATTTTTCTTTAAAAGTATATTAGAAGCCGGGCTCGGTGGCTCAGCCTGTAGTCCCGCGCCTTTGGGAGGCTGAGGTGAGTGGATTGCCTGAGCCCGCGGGCTCGAGACCCGCCTGGGTAGCGAGACCTCATCTTTACAGTAAATCAAAAAATCAGCCGGGCGTGGTAGCGCATGCCTGTAATTCCGGCTACTCGGAAGGCTGAAGTGGAAGGATCACCAGAGCCCAACAGGTCGAGACTGCGGTGGCCGGGAGCGGCCACTGCACTCCAGTCTGGGGGACAGAGTGAGACTCCAACTCAAAAAAAAAAAAGTATATTAGAACTTAGCCAGGCATGGTGGTGTGCATCTGTAGTTCCAGCTACTTGAAAGGTTGAGGCAGAAAGATCGACTAAGCTCAGCAGGTCAAGGCTGCGGTGCGGTGGCCATAAGCCTGCCGCTGCATTCCAGTCTGGGTGACAGGAGTAAGGCTCCAACTCAAAAAAAAAAAGCATGTTAGAAGATAGACAAGTGGGACTTAATCAAATTGAAAAACTTCTGCAAAAGATACCATCAAGAGATTTTCCCAATCTATGGGGATATAGCCCATAGACTGGGAAAAAGTATTTGCCTACCGTATATCTGACAAAGTTCTAACAACTAGGATCTACAAGGAACTCTAACATGCCAAAAATAAAAAAACAAGCAGCCCTGTCACAAAGTGGACAAACAATATTAATAGATGCTCAACCTCACTAACTGTCGAAGAAATGCAAATTAAAACTACATTGAGATACCACCTAACTCCAGTCATTGAGTTTGGCCATCATCAATAACTCAAAAAACAACAGATGCTGGAGAGGATGCAGGGGAAAGGGAACACTTCTACACTGTTGGTGGGAGTGTAAACTTGTAAAGCTCTGTGGAAAAGAGCTAAAAATCAAACTCCCACATGACCTAACAATTCTCCTTCTGGGAATATACCCAGAGGAAATCAAATCATTCTACAAAAAAGATACCTGCACACGCATGTTTATTGCAGCACTATTCACAATAGCAAAAACATGAAACTAACCATGCTGCCCATCGAAAGTAGACTGGATTTTTAAAATGTGGTACAATTACAAGATGCAATATTATGTAGCCATAAAGAACTTTGCAGCAACTTGGATGTATTTAGAGTCTGTAATACTCAGTGATCTATCTCAGAAACAAAGAACTGAGTACCATATATTCTCACCCATAAGCAGACCCTGAACAATTGTCATAATACTATAAGAAAGGGACTGGTAGTAGTCAGAAACTGCCAGGGGAGGGAATGGGTGGCACACTTCATTAATAAGGGTACCTGATCTCAAACCAAGTGACATGGGGACCAAAGTGAGGCTCAAACTTTACCTGTAATGACCATTTGTATGCCTAACTCTCTGTTGTACCTCACATCTTTAAAATAAAAATTTTAAAAAATAAAAGTATGTTAGAGAAAATTAACAATCCTCTCAATTGTTTACCTATAATTCATTTGTTTTCTGATATGCTTTTTCAATTTCACTGAGAAGTCATTACTCTTATTCCTCATTGTCTTTCATTTACATTTTGGTATAGTTTACCAATAGGGAAAGAGAAGGGCAGACTCACAACTAACAAAATTTGCATAACTGGGTAAATCCTTGAGAGTATGTCATAAAAATAAGGGTGTTCAAGTGTCAAAGCAAGCAAAAAAATTGTGAACCGTTGTTTATTGGTATGAGGAATGAACTGATGGGCCAATTCAGAGACAGGGAAGTTGTTTTAGAAGGTTGTTGATAAACCTCCCACTGTTCCTCCATGTGCTCATTCCAGCCTTTCATATCATTCTCCCCTCCATACAAACAAACACTGTGAATAGTCTTCCCCTCCTCTCACTGTTCCAAATGCTATTCATCTTTAAGACTCAGACAGGATTCCTTTTTCCATTTCTCCAACCATACCAATATTTTCCTCCTTGTAAGACAAGCTACAAAGCCAAGCATATTATCATCATACAGCATATTTGCTCCCAATTTGTTCTATGTACTTTAATCTTATTTCCTCAGCTAGGTTTTTCAAGTACTGCAATGTAGGAAATATTTTTTCTTCTTTTTTATATCTTCAAAGGGCAGCATTGTCCAAAATCAATGGAAACTCCATTTGGCCCTTTAACCCTTTCACCTTTTCTCCTATAATGCTCTAATCATTCTTGTTGCTTGTGAAAAAAAAAGTGGGGGAGAGAATGGCTTTGAAAAATTGTGTCTGAATT